GGTTGAACCTCCCTGGTCTGGCACCCTCTGGACTTAAGTGGTCCCAAACAAAGGAATTTGCCAACCAGGAAGGTCAGGCATCCGGGATCTCCCAGGGCCCCTCTCCTGGCTGCTGCCCCAGGACAGCCCAGAGGCCTGACCTCCTCTGGCTCACTTGCCTGGCTCTGCTGCCCCTTGGGGCTCTTGCTCCCTGCACCCAGTCCCGCATGGTAGCAGCTGCTCTCAGCTGGGTTCCCTGAGTCCCACGCTGGGGCAGTTGCTCCTGTGGCTACCTAACCCCAGGTCAAAGGCCCTGCAGGTTGCCACAGACCAGACCAGCAACACTCCCAGCCACATTCTACCTCTGGGGCTAGGGCTTTCTGATCTAGCAACATCTGTCGTCCTGCTGGACCACAGATATTGCCAGACCATAGAGCCCTGGATGAGAGAACTTCAACCAGTATCGAATTTGTTGAAGTGCTAAACTAGCTTTCGACAGCAGTAGCCTCCTCTGCAGGCACAGTAAGTCCAAATGAAGAAAATACTCTAATTCACACCAAATTGAGAAATCGACTGGGAGTTTAAAAAGCAGGGAAACTTGTGTCTCTTCCGGTCTGAGTTAAAGAGAAATCGACTGGGAGTTTAAAAAGCAGGGAAGCTTGTGTCTCTTCCGTTCTGAGAGTTAAGAGTTTGAATAACTGCCTAAGTAACTTAAGAGACTCATGTTCAAGACACTTAGGCAACTAGGAACTTACTTTAGCTCTAGTCACTCCATGAAATTTGAAAATTTTCCAAGGTGACCTGAGAATCAGTTTAATTCACTGACTACAGTTACTTTTTCTATTCCTTTAGCTGTAAATGCGGACTGTATTTTGGTAAGAAAAGTTTGTGCAGCCAAAGCATTTCAGATGGTTTTGTTTCATAAAAATATATTTTTACTCCAGTTACCTTCCTAATGCAACTTGACAAATCATGAGCAAAAAGTTAATTGTCTAACAGGCAGACAATATATCATTCACCATTTTCTAACACTAAAACGTGCAGTTAGAGAACATTGAAAATACTAAGCTAGACAACTGCTTAAATAAAGGTCTTCTGTTACAGTGTACCCTCCTCTAAGTAGCAAAAAGACATACCAAATTAGCATACAGGCTCTATTGACTTGGAAATCAACATGTTTTGATGACTGTCTACCAGTAAGAATGCACCTTTCTGTAGACAATAAGTACAAGTGGAAAAGGTGATTAAAATGAGTGATTTAAATAGAGGCTTTACCCGTAATAATTTAAAATGTGACTAAAAGTCACCTTGATTTAAATAGACCTACACTGATAATATAGAAGCAGAAGTCTGGGCACAAGGAATTAAGTCTTATTACCAGCTCTGAGACAACATACTTCCATCTGTGCCTCAGTTTTGCCTCCACTTTTTGCAATACCAGATGGATACCTCCTCTTTTGTAAATTTTTCGTTTGTAAATTTTTAAAGAAAATACAGGATACCTTTAATGGCAAGGCATGGAATTCCGGAGCTTGCATAGAATGACATTTACAAGTAAATTCAATAAATATCCATGTCATCCTTAAACTTTAAGTTACTTTTTGTATCAATTTGTAGTGTTGGGAGAAGAGGAATTTTCATGATTTCTGTGCTCTCCATGAATTGGTGATTTACACATAGCTCTGCTCATATGAGGTCAGTGTCCCTTTAAACATGGAAAGGGCTAAGTCAGTCTCAGCACCCATCTAAATTTTAGGTTTTGGTACACTTATGTAAGCATAAAATGGATATGCTAGCATGACATTACTGGCTCAACATATTTTGTCTTTTATCATCAAATACACCCAGTCAGCTCCCACTAATACCAATCACAGTGAAGAGCTTCCCAATAACATTTTATGATAGAAGTCTTACCACTCAATTAATTTATATGGCCATGGCTTTTAAATGGAACATAATCATGTTTGTTATAGAGATTTGTAATTCAATAGCACCCCATTAATTTCTCAACACCCTGATATGCTTTAGAAAGAAGCTGTTCTTTTTATTGTTGCTAACACAGAAATGCGTCACTGTATCTTGTTAAACTGGTTAACCCTGAAGCTAGGGGCAGAAGTACTGTGTCACTCTAGGCTTATAATATCTAGAGAATTACTCATCCTATCAGAAGCTCTTAGCAAAGAAGAGCCTACTGTTTATCTATAATGACTGATATTCTTCATTCAAGGCTACCGTAGGTCAAAAGAGGTTTAGTTTTATGTCTATGAATTCCTTTAATAAGTCACTCTAGACACTTGAGTGGAAGTTGACCTTCACCTCTCTCTAAACACCAGCAAAAAGTGACACGGAAAGCCAATCCTCCAGCCCACTCTGCATTCCCCAGAGAAGGATACAACAGGTCTCCCTGAGACTTCAGAGGCTGGTAGGCCTCTAACCCCAACCTAGGGGAAGTGGCTAGCCATCTGACCTGACACGAGACCAGTAGCTCCTTTCCCTCTCAGCGCATCATGCTCACCTGCCTGCCAGAAGGTGGTATGAAATTTTGCTTTCAGTTTCTCAGCCTACATAGAGGCATGTGATAACTCCTCCTGCAGCTTTATTTCAAATATTTCTGCTTCTCAACTTTAATGGCAAAATATAATTCCAGTTTCATATTTAAAAGGCTTTTAAATTCCATAGCATTTTCTGCACCAGGACCCACAGATAAACAAGCTCTCTAGAATACAGCTTGGCAAGCTGACTAAAATTTTAAATACAGTATTTATGTTTGGATTTATTTGTTGCCTTAATAACATGCCCAGGCAGCAGAAACTGTACGCCCCATGGACACATGCCAAAGACCTGACCTGAAGTGTGTCATGGTATAAATGACCTGAATTCACAACAATGAAGCTATGTGCAGGTAACAAACATGATTTTTTTTTTTTAAAAAAAAAACATCAGCCTTCATGTATGAGGTTTCTTATTGCTCTGCTGTTCCCATCTTTCCCCGCCTCCCATTGTTTTGAATAGGGTTTTCTCCAGCTTTATTAGCTTGCTTTTCTTGACACTCAGTCCTGCCCTTGCCTCTAATCCTGAGACCAACAGTCAAGGAAAGGTCTACTCAGCTAGAGAAGTGTGAAAACAGGACCAGTTTCCCTGCAAGACCAACACTGTTCAGAATTCACCCAAGACTGGAAACAAGCCACTTTAAACAGCACCACTGAGGCTTCAGGTGAATTTAGGAGGCGCTATACCCAGAGTCAAGCCCAAATCTCCCCCTCAACATACAGAGGAATGGTATCCAATATCTAATGACTACAAAAAGATTAAAGGGTATCAAACTTTACCTCCTAAAGGAGCTGAATCAAGTACTACACATTGCTCAGTATTGAAGAGAACATGTTCCCGGAGGCTTCACACTCCGACAGTCAAGATTTGTTTTATTTTATTCAGTTTTCCAGTGGCAACCCAGTGATTAGTTCTACAATAAGCATGGGTATGTAGAAACTTCCCCTACGAGGATACCTTCTCTTCCTCATGCACACTAAGAACTACGTTAATGAGATTTAAAGGCGCTCAGCATAACTGCATCCGTATGGAGCTTTTTGCAGGGAGGGGAGAGTTTAAAGCATGATTTAATAATTTCATTGCATTGAAAAAGACTTGATTTTCCTAAAGAGTTTAGATACAGACCTGGTTTTGTGTGAGAGTGATACACACACACACACCCCCATCTGAAGAAGTGGGTTTTGCCCATGAAAGCTCATGATAACATGTACATGTTATGTTAGTCTTTCGAGTGATACTAGACTATCTGTTGTTTAAGTTTTCACTGTTACAAACTAACTCAGCTACCCCTCTGAAGCTCATTCACATACATCATTTAGTCTCCAGCTTCACTTCAGGTTTGGCTGTCATAGTTAGAGGTGCCCATGTTCTAACTAGGGATGTTAAAGACTAGTCAACTATCCGATAAGCATTTGTCAATCCCCCCCGCCACCTATGGTACAAGGTGGCATTTCAAAGGGACAGTGGTAGCTCAGCTGTGCAGCACTGCTCCTTTAAAAGGCAGAAGCACCATGGAGCCCAGGGTCAGCTCCACGGCTACCCCTTTGAAATGTTCTGAGGCAGCGTTTCAAAGAGGCAGCGCCACACAGCTGAGGCGTGGATCAGCTGTGCAGCATTGCCGCTTTGAAACCCCAACATGGTGTCTCAAAGGGACAGCTGCTGCACAGCTGATCTGTAGCTGTGTGGCGGCGGCCCCTTTGAAACGCCACCTCCGTGCGTTTCCAAAGGTTAGCTGTGGAGCCTGGGGACAGCTGGGGACTCCCCAGCTAATCTGAGGCTCCGCATGACATTTCCCTAGAACCCAGGGTCAACTGGGGAGTTCCCAGCTGACTCTGGGTTCCGCTGAAATGCCATGCAGAACCAGGGTTAGCTGGGGACCCAGTTCCCCACTGAATCCAGACTCCACAGCTTTGAAATGCACAAAAGCCTCTGCTCGGGACTTTTGAACATTTCAAAGCAGGCACCCACGTGCAGCCCACTAAACACAGAGTTCCACATTCCTCCTTTGAAATGTACAAGAGCCCTAGTGGGCTTTCAAAGGACGAATGCGGAAAGTGCCTATCAACTAGTTGAGTAGTTGATGGAAATTCCATCGACTAGTCAATTAACCACATTTTAACATCCCTAGTTCTAACAAGGCTTTTTGCTTTTCATGTGTTATTACACTAGTTGTACAGCCACGCTGTACTGTTCAAACTACAAATGAAATAGGTTTTAAAACAATGCTTCCAACAGACAGTTTGGTGTTACCATGATCATATTTCAATGGTAGATTGTGTCTTTGCATGAGATTTTAATTTGGAAGCATCACAAAAAAAATATGCTCCATTGCTCCTCCATCCGGTACATCATCTTGATGCTCCAATCCCCTCATCAGACATGTACTTGCACATTAACACTGCGCGGTCTTTCCTTAAGACACAGACCTTAAACAACCACTCTATCCAAATCTTACATGAAGATAAACCTACCAGAAACAGCCATAGTATCACTGATCCAGGCAATAGAAAATATCCAGTCTTTGTGTCCATCCTGAAGAGAGAAAAAGGACAAAGCAGCCTGTGAAATTATCAGTGTTTATTTTACCTACCAATTGTTATAAATGCACAGTAGTTGTAAAGTTTCTCTTAAACAGGGGAGTTAGGCTTTTCCTTTTGTTGCTGTACAAAAAGCCTATTTTAAAAACAGGCAATTGTGACAGCAACACTATAAAACTTGCAAATGTTAGTTGATTGCCTGAAACTACTTTTAACTCACTTTTTGAAAGAGATTTTAAATAGTGTCCCTTTAATTTCAGTGGTCAATAAAACACCTCTTGATGAAGATAAAACTTCATTGAGTTCCAGAATTTAAGTCTGAAGAATCAAATGCTTATACATATAGATAGGTGCATCCCTTCTTTCTGAAAAGAACAATCATGTTTTCTATGTATCTCCTCATGCACATCACTACTGATGTAAACAACTGTGTTCTAAATTTTATATGCAGAAGCCATTAAACATAATTATGTGTTCACCACCCCAATGCCGTGCACCTCTAGGAAACTAGGTCAGGATGGAAATGTGTGTTCCATTCACAATAATTACCCATATAGTGTAAAAAACCCTAGTTGTCCTGTGGCACCTTAGAAACTAACAAAAATATAGGTAGTATCATGAGCTTTCGTGGGCAAAACCCACTTTTTCAGATGAGCTTGAAAGCACGTGATTATATACATATTTGTTAGAGTAGTAGACACAAGACTACTAGTTGTTTTTAAAGTTACGGGCTAACACAGCAACTCCTCTGAGCCAGAGAGTAAAGTTAGGTTCCTCAAGGGATGCTACTGCAGTCTGTTCAGAGAACTGTGGGCCCGATATTCTTTAAAAGAGGAATAATCCTATTAAAATCAAAAGAGGCTGAGTGACAATCTGTGTTCCCTGTAAACTGTGTGCATGTGCTACTGCCCAGGACACATTCAAATGCCACCCAGCTGATTAGCAGAGAGACCACAGCTAGGTTTTTTATTGTTGCTGGTGGTGCACATACCTCAGTGCACATAAAATTTATTCCACACATGGGTGGAAAAGATTAGAGGGAACTTTGGTCACAGTACTATGCACATGACTAGGAAGTGTCACATGCTTAGGCTACCCTGCAATTGGTAATCACCCTCACTTAGCTCCCACAGACATTATGACCTCAGCGGCTGTGACTCATTGGTGCTCATGTCAAAGTCCTGCCCAAGAACAAAACTTTCAAGACACTCCCTTCAGCTTTGTTTGAGAAGTCCTTTAAAAAACAAGGTCATAAGAATTTTTTTATTTTTTTTTTTTTTTTAAAGGAGCATGGTACAGTTGAACTTTACATCATATGCTGGCAAGAAATACAGAGTTAGAACCAACCCTCAGAATCCATTTGCATGTCACATTGGGCTAGGGAAGAACCATGCACAGTATCATCTCCCAGTTTCATTTCTCAATACAGTTCATATGCTGAACAGCCTGGTTTATGCTTCAGTGACCTCCATTAGCAAGTTAGGGTGTTGCTAATTTCTAACAGAAGGGTAACACTTTTGCTCTTCTAAATGGATCGGGGGGAGGGGGGGGGTTTCTACAGTGAAGCCTTCCTGAGAAGAGACTGCTTAAAGACAGAATCAAAAACCCAAAATCAGTAGAACAGACTCATGCTTTCCACTCTTTGCCTGTTCACTCTTCCAGATTAAAAGGAATATTTTAAAGACGTGCACAGACCACATTAAACAGAAATGTGTGTTCATATCTCCAGTGCGTTCCCCCGGACAATTTCAATTCTGCAGGAAGTGATATTTTCAACCTTTGACACTTCACTGTAATACCTACTGAGTGACTCTGTACCTTTCCCAAATATGCTAACTTACATCTCCCACGCAGACAGGATCAAGCGTAGGCAGACGATAAATCGCAAGGCTATTTGGATTGTCCCCTCCTGTAGCCAAGAGCGTCCTCGAAGGGTTCAGCTCAATTGCATGAATACCGCAGCCCTGTTGGTTTACCATGCCAGGTTCTCGATCTTTCAGGATAGGAATCTTCGTAATTTGACCCGTCTGAACATCAACCACAAAGAGCTGAAAGACAGACATACCTGAAGTTTTAGAAACAGAGCCATCAAACCAAATTCACATAATAAATTTGAAGAGAAACAAAATGGCAGGTCACTTGATCCACTCTTGATCAGAGTTAGAACATTGTCCGTTCTCACAATGGTGTGCTTACATTCAAAGCTAAACCAGAAAAAATTAGTTTAAAGAAATGCAACATGTGTGATTATAAGGGACAAAATTACCTTAAAAAAAATCAGTTGTTTAAAAGTTAACTTTTTAGGTGTTACTTTTGACCAACATTCAACAAATGTTCATTTGACTGTTCCTTTATGTCTGAACACAGCTCACGTAGGGTCTGTTTATACTGCGATTACACTCCTTCAGCTGGCCCATGCCGCCTGACTCAAGCTCCCTGGACTTAGGCATGTTAATTAGCTGATAAATCAATATTTGAGTATCAATGGAATTTCCATCCACTACTGGATTACTTGATAAGAGGGGCACTCTGCTGCACCTCTGCCTTTGAAATGTACAAGAGCTTCCGTAGCTCATGGACATTTCAAGAGTTGCCCAGGCTCTTGTACATTTCAAAAGGGAGTGGTGCAGCAGTGGGGACCCTACACAAGCGGGGACTGCTTCAGTCCCTATTAATGCGAATTCCCCACTGCACCTCTGCCTCCCCACCACCCCCACAGAGACAGTGTTGGGGGGAGCCAGCTTTTAAGCCGGCTCCCCCAGCACTGCCCCGGTGCCTGTGTTAGAGGCAGCAGGAGAGGGGGAAGTAACTTGTTGACTAGTAGATTATATCCCTACCAGGGCTCAGGCTGAAGGACTATTGAATTGCAGTCAGATCCCACAATTTGACTGAACCTTAGCCCAAGCAAGCTGGCATGGCCAAGCCAGGGTTGCCTAACTCAAAGACATGGTATCAAGGCTTTTAAGGAACTGAATTAATGGAATGGGAAAAGAAGAGGGAAAATGTTCGAGGTGATCACTCTTTGCCAGACAATTCTAGGATGGGGAGAGCATAGTTTCTGGTGCTTAGAATGCAGTTTATGTTTACGTATCATTTCTTCATCACTTCTCACAGAAATTCTTTTCCGTTTCCTAGTAACATCAAATGGTAAACAATGGCATTAACCCCACAGCATTTAACGCAGTCGTGGATTTTACAGCAGCCATGGGCAACCAAGAACAGCCAACGGGCTGCACGAGTGGCCCTCCATCTCAGTGACCAGTAGTCGGTAACCTGCATCCCACAGCCCACTGGGGCCCATTTGCCTGCCTCCCTTTCCCACGTGCCTCACACACTGGGGTACAGGAGACTGTTTCCTACCCCTCCCCGACCCTCCCAACACCTTCAGAGCACCATGAATCGCCTGATTTATGCTCCTTCTCCCTTCCAGAGTCTGACCAGCGGATTTGCAGCTATGAGCCTGTGGCAGTCCCCTACTCTCCTTCTGTAGGAGTCTGTTCTCAGGCCTGTTCTACATTTCTGGTTCTCCCTCTCCCCCCAGCATACTGGGGATAAGGATCTGAATCTAAACTGTAGACTGTAAGCTCTTACAGGCAGGGACTATTTCTTTGGGGTACCGTACACATTTTAGCCAATATGAAATTACTCATTTACCATAGTAGCTAAGACTATCATGGAGACAGATGTGAAGAGAGGAAGCAGTGGCCTAGGAATGTAAGCAACTAGTTGACTATCCGATAAGTTTATGCTCATCGGATAGTTACTAACGATGTGACTAGTTGTTCTCTTCCCCTTGCTGCATCTATCAGAGGCAGAAAAGGGGTGGGCAGGAGCTGGGGGCAGAGGAGGTAGAGGCACAGCAGGAAACAACATGAGTGGGGACTGAAGCAGTCTCTGCTGTGTCATTTCTGCTGTGATTCTGCTTTTGAAATGTACAAGAACCTCAGCAGGGCTCTTGTACATTTTAAAGGCTCAGGAGCCAGAGGGAGCATGGGGCCAGTCCCGCACTGGCCCAGTGCTCCCTGCGGGGCTTCCGCTTTTGAACTGTAGCAAGAGCCCTTCTGGGCTCTTGCTACAGTTCAAAGGTGGAGGCACTCTTATACACTAATATGACTAGTTAATCAATCTAAATTTAACATCCCTACAATGGCCAATTTTCAATTTGCACCATCGGCAACAGGTCTTTCTGGTTTCACTACATTGGTTCATAATCGAATAATCACCACATATCATACAAGCACAGGACTAGAAAGAACCAACAGAAAGCTAAATGCAGCCACTGACATGTCTATTGAATTGGTTTTAATACAGCCAGAAAGATGGATTCGCTGCTGTTAAACAGTGCACAACACGGGAAGGTAGACAGCCACGTCCATTATGCATGCATTCCAGGTGTTAAATAATTAGTTGCTTTCAGTTCCATACTTTTTAGAAATCCAGCAAATTATAGCATCTGACCATTAGGTCAGAAATGCCCCAATCCCCCATCATCATGTGCCAAATGTCCCAAACAAACCCAGGACATCTTTGTGACTGAAAATAAAAGTATGGACGCAAATGTTCTTCCCAGTGACTATGCAGTCTGGTCTCTACAATGGTTAAAGTTCTAGAATGGCTCCTCTACACAACTGTAGTGATTTTTCCCGTCTCACCTCAAGTAAGAGGATCCTGCCCTCAAATTACTTTTGAGGTGAACTTTCACATTAGTCTGGGGCTCAAAAACCACGATGGGCAAGCTTGTTCAGTTACGCTAAGCACTGGATAGCTGCCTATACTTGAATGTGTGTATACCTGTACGAAGCAGTGATTTGGATCTATTGCCAGCATGCAGTAACTTCGCAGCCAAGTTTTAACCAGATAAAACAATGCTCTGGCAGCCACCAAGAACAAAGGACCACACCTAATATGTATCAAATGGAGCGGACTCGAGCTGTTCAATGGGGAACAAACTGGATGACCCAACAGACTGTTTAGGATTCCTTATCTCTGAATCAGAGGTATAAGCGGTGATGTCTATGCTGCTCAAGGAGCAAGAAGAGAATGCCTGGGTCACTATAAACATGGAGTGCTGGGACGATACCTCTTTAGCTTATGGATACTATAGCTGAAGTCCCACACAGATACAAAACTTCTATCTGCATTCTTTCAATCCGTGATTCACAAACACGGCCAGAGATATCCACAGATTTACAGAGCTCTAGGTCTGGCTGCATTTGACCCATCTCATTGTGCCTTCTTTGATTACTAACTTTATGCATTCTTCAGAATTTGTATTACAATTGCATCTAACAAGCCCCAGCAACAATCAGGGCTTCATTGTACTAGTGACACACGTGCACTAGGGAGATTGTAAGCTCTAATAGGCAGGAGCTTACAATCAAACAGGACCATGCAAAGGAATGAGCTCCACTTCACAGTGGAAAAACTGAGGCAGACAGCAATTAAGAGAGCTGCTCGAAGGTCACAGTTATGCCTTTGGCAGAGAGAAGTTGAAGCCAAAACTCCAGAGACACAGGTTAGTGCCTCTGTCACACAATCCATCATTCCTCTCCTAATGAAGTACTTAAATCAGTTGACAGGTTCTTCTGTCAGTTCCATTCTAATTCTTTACCTGCTTTTCAGAGAGAGCAAGAAGGGAAGCCACAATCACCAGTGCA